CCCCCCCCGCCGTAAGCCCCCCCCGCCACTCAGGCGACCGTACTGCTCCTTCTCCTGGTGTCCGGCCCGGGACGCGCTGCCCAGGTGCCGCCTCTGCTCCCGGGCTTTCTGCAGCACCCGCTTGTACGAGAGCGCGCACAGCCAGCACAGCAGCTTCCCATCCACCTGCGAGGGTGAGGGCGAAGCCAGGGTGAGGGCGAGGCCAGGGCCAGGGCCAGGCCAGGCTGAGGCCTGGGCTAAGGTGCTGTGAGCGAGGTGGGCCGAGCCGGGCCCGCACAGCTTGGAGGGCCGCTGCGGGGGACCGGGGCACAGGCTCAGAGGGCCGCCGCAGGCTGCTGAGTGTGGGGTCCAGGGTGCGGGCTACGGGGCCACAAAGCGGCAGGAAGCAGTCTGGCACAGGCATGCACCCCCAAGACGCAGGGCAGAGGGTGCCCAGCACTGCAGTCCCTCCTCCACTCCCCTAATGCACCAGCTTGCGTCTTTCAAGCTGCAGGTCTGGGATTCGAACTGCGCAGTTCGCCATGTGGGATTGAGTCACCTCAAACACCATGCCGCAGACCGGCCCATCAGCTACTAATTGTATGTACCTTTTTTTTTGAGAGGTTTTTTGCTATAGGGCGTGTGTGCTCACCAGAAAGAGAGAGAAACAGAGAGACAGAAAGCGAGAAATCACCCCCCAGCAGGGATGGTCACGCCGCAATCCCTTCTCCTCCATTCTCCTGTCGGGATCTTGGCCACGCACGCTCACACGCCCAGCATGAGTTTAAGCCGAGTCTGGGACTCGAACCATGGTTGACTACATAGGAGTCCAGCGGCATAGCCATTACGCCAACTGCTGGTCCCTAATCGTATGTACCTTTTTGTTTTGTTTTTCTTCAACTTAGCAAACACAGACTAGAGCAACACTGCCAGGAGCTGGAAAGACAGTATCTCCGTGGTGTTCACAAGCAGCTCAGCAGGCCGAGAAGAGACCGGAGTGAGATACAGCTTATGGGCCAGCAGGTGGCATGGTGCCGGCCAGGACTCCCGCATGGCGCAGTGGTTCAAGTTCCGGACCTGGCAGCTTGCTTTCTCACTTTCCCTTTTTCTCTCTCTCTGATCAAATCAAAAACTAAAAATAAAAAAAAAAAATGAAGGGACCGGCAGTTGGCGTAATGGCTGTGTCGCTGGACTCCCATGTAGTCAACCGAGGTTCGAGTCCTGGATCCTGTGGCTTAAACTCACGCCGGGTGCGTGTGCGTCCAAGATTCCGAGAGGAGAATGGAGGAGAAGGGATTGCGGCTTGGCCATCCCCCCTGGGGAGTGATTTCTCGCTTTCTGTCTCTCTGTCTATATATGGCTTTCTGGTGAGCACACATGCCCTATAGGTTTTAATTGATAAAGACAGTTAAACAAAATAACTCTAAAAAAATACAGTTTATACTTCAGGGTTTGAATGTGTTTTTTACTTTTTAAAATTATTTAATTTTATTTATCATTATTATTATGTTTAACCTGCTAGAGAGCACATATCCTCACCAGAGAGAGAGACAGAGACAGAGAGAGGGACAGTAAGAAAGCAAGCTGCCAGGTCTGGGACTCAAACCACAATCCAGTGCCTTAACTACCATGCCCTAAGTGTTTTTAGTGTTTTTTATTTATTTATTTTTTTAGAGTTTCTGCCAGAGTCTGTGTGCTCATCAGAAAGACGTAGTGAGAGGGAAAGGAAGAAATCACCCCCAGGGGGACGGTCACACCACAGTCCCTTCTCCACTCTCCTCTCGGGATTTTGGGCATGCACCCAGTATGAATTTAAGCCGCTGGGTCTGGGTCTCAAACCATGGTCAACCATGTGAGAGTCTGGTTCTATAACCACCTGCCACCTCCTGCCCCAGGAGGTGTTTCTAACTGGCAAGTGAGAACAGCGTGTTTCCAGCGCACGCAGCAAGTGGCTCTTAAACACGCGTACACTGCGGAGTGGCCATGCGGGGCCGGCTCACGCGTGCCTCACCTCCGCACCTGCACTTCAGTGGGGAGGACAAGTAAACCTACTCCGGGCCGGCTCTGGGCCTGGGGGCTACGAGGGCTGAGTCCCACACGACCTCGGCCCAGACCCGGCAGCTTGAGAAGTGGCTGGGCAGTAGGTATGTCCAAAATCCCAGCGAAAGGAACAGAAGGGACTGCGGTGTGGCCAATCCCCAGGGGATACTTTCTCTCTCTGTCTCTGTCTCTCTCAGGTGAGCACACACCCCCTCTAGCAAACAAACAAAAACAAAAACAAAACCCACTCAGCAGCTTCAAGAGAGTGGCACACGGCTCAGGTAGCCCTGCTCGCCCGTGTCAGGCCTGAGCCGGCTCTTCGTGTCCTGAGCACAGTGGCCTCTGGCCAGCACATCTGCACCTCCCCCCGCACTGCGGCTTTAAGTCCTTATAAACATTTGCAGATGGCAGGCCGGAGACCTCGCAGGTAGAAAGAAAGAAAGTGAGGGGTGAGTGGCTGCCGGGGCCCCAGTACCCTCAGCACGACACAGCCATGTCCCTGGAGGAGTGGCCGCAGGTGGGGGGCGGCCACAGGCTAGGGAGGTCGAAGGGTCCAGTTACCGAGGCCGGACACCTCTGTGCAGCAGGCGGGCTGTCACTGCAGGGGCAGTCCCTGGGAGGGAGTGCAGTGTTATCCCTGAACCGGGTCTGGTGACCCGTCACAAACACATGGGCTAAGTGTGTGAAGTGGCTTTTTTTTTTTTTTTTTTTTGGAGAGGTTTTTGCTATAGGGCATGTGTGCTCACCAGACAGACAGAGCGAGCCAGAGAGACAGAAAGTGAGAAATCACCCCCCAGGGGGGATGGTCACGCCGTAATCCCTTCTCCTCCATCCTCCTCTCGGGATCTTGGGCACACATGCACATGCGCCCAGCGTGAGTTTTAAGCCACCGGGGCCGGGACTCGAACTGCAGTCGACCACGTGGGAGGCCAGCGACATAGCCATTACGCTAACTGCTGGTTCCCAAATTAAATAATTCTTTTTTTTTTTTTTTGGAGAGGTTTTTGCTATAGGGCATGTGTGCTCACCAGACAGACAGAGCGAGCCAGAGAGACAGAAAGTGAGAAATCACCCCCCAGGGGGGATGGTCACGCCGTAATCCCTTCTCCTCCATCCTCCTCTCGGGATCTTGGGCACACATGCACATGCGCCCAGCGTGAGTTTTAAGCCACCGGGGCCGGGACTCGAACTGCAGTCGACCACGTGGGAGGCCAGCGACATAGCCATTACGCTAACTGCTGGTTCCCAAATTAAATAATTCTTTTTTTTTTTTTTTGGAGAGGTTTTTGCTATAGGGCATGTGTGCTCACCAGACAGACAGAGCGAGCCAGAGAGACAGAAAGTGAGAAATCACCCCCCAGGGGGGATGGTCACGCCGTAATCCCTTCTCCTCCATCCTCCTCTCGGGATCTTGGGCACACATGCACATGCGCCCAGCGTGAGTTTTAAGCCACCGGGGCCGGGACTCGAACTGCAGTCGACCACGTGGGAGGCCAGCGACATAGCCATTACGCTAACTGCTGGTTCCCAAATTAAATAATTCTTTTTTTTTTTTTTTGGAGAGGTTTTTGCTATAGGGCATGTGTGCTCACCAGACAGACAGAGCGAGCCAGAGAGACAGAAAGTGAGAAATCACCCCCCAGGGGGGATGGTCACGCCGTAATCCCTTCTCCTCCATCCTCCTCTCGGGATCTTGGGCACACATGCACATGCGCCCAGCGTGAGTTTTAAGCCACCGGGGCCGGGACTCGAACTGCAGTCGACCACGTGGGAGGCCAGCGACATAGCCATTACGCTAACTGCTGGTTCCCAAATTAAATAATTCTTTTTTTTTTTTTTTGGAGAGGTTTTTGCTATAGGGCATGTGTGCTCACCAGACAGACAGAGCGAGCCAGAGAGACAGAAAGTGAGAAATCACCCCCCAGGGGGGATGGTCACGCCGTAATCCCTTCTCCTCCATCCTCCTCTCGGGATCTTGGGCACACATGCACATGCGCCCAGCGTGAGTTTTAAGCCACCGGGGCCGGGACTCGAACTGCAGTCGACCACGTGGGAGGCCAGCGACATAGCCATTACGCTAACTGCTGGTTCCCAAATTAAATAATTCTTTTTTTTTTTTTTTGGAGAGGTTTTTGCTATAGGGCATGTGTGCTCACCAGACAGACAGAGCGAGCCAGAGAGACAGAAAGTGAGAAATCACCCCCCAGGGGGGATGGTCACGCCGTAATCCCTTCTCCTCCATCCTCCTCTCGGGATCTTGGGCACACATGCACATGCGCCCAGCGTGAGTTTTAAGCCACCGGGGCCGGGACTCGAACTGCAGTCGACCACGTGGGAGGCCAGCGACATAGCCATTACGCTAACTGCTGGTTCCCAAATTAAATAATTCTTTTTTTTTTTTTTTGGAGAGGTTTTTGCTATAGGGCATGTGTGCTCACCAGACAGACAGAGCGAGCCAGAGAGACAGAAAGTGAGAAATCACCCCCCAGGGGGGATGGTCACGCCGTAATCCCTTCTCCTCCATCCTCCTCTCGGGATCTTGGGCACACATGCACATGCGCCCAGCGTGAGTTTTAAGCCACCGGGGCCGGGACTCGAACTGCAGTCGACCACGTGGGAGGCCAGCGACATAGCCATTACGCTAACTGCTGGTTCCCAAATTAAATAATTCTTTTTTTTTTTTTTTGGAGAGGTTTTTGCTATAGGGCATGTGTGCTCACCAGACAGACAGAGCGAGCCAGAGAGACAGAAAGTGAGAAATCACCCCCCAGGGGGGATGGTCACGCCGTAATCCCTTCTCCTCCATCCTCCTCTCGGGATCTTGGGCACACATGCACATGCGCCCAGCGTGAGTTTTAAGCCACCGGGGCCGGGACTCGAACTGCAGTCGACCACGTGGGAGGCCAGCGACATAGCCATTACGCTAACTGCTGGTTCCCAAATTAAATAATTCTTTTTTTTTTTTTTTGGAGAGGTTTTTGCTATAGGGCATGTGTGCTCACCAGACAGACAGAGCGAGCCAGAGAGACAGAAAGTGAGAAATCACCCCCCAGGGGGGATGGTCACGCCGTAATCCCTTCTCCTCCATCCTCCTCTCGGGATCTTGGGCACACATGCACATGCGCCCAGCGTGAGTTTTAAGCCACCGGGGCCGGGACTCGAACTGCAGTCGACCACGTGGGAGGCCAGCGACATAGCCATTACGCTAACTGCTGGTTCCCAAATTAAATAATTCTTTTTTTTTTTTTTTGGAGAGGTTTTTGCTATAGGGCATGTGTGCTCACCAGACAGACAGAGCGAGCCAGAGAGACAGAAAGTGAGAAATCACCCCCCAGGGGGGATGGTCACGCCGTAATCCCTTCTCCTCCATCCTCCTCTCGGGATCTTGGGCACACATGCACATGCGCCCAGCGTGAGTTTTAAGCCACCGGGGCCGGGACTCGAACTGCAGTCGACCACGTGGGAGGCCAGCGACATAGCCATTACGCTAACTGCTGGTTCCCAAATTAAATAATTCTTTTTTTTTTTTTTTGGAGAGGTTTTTGCTATAGGGCATGTGTGCTCACCAGACAGACAGAGCGAGCCAGAGAGACAGAAAGTGAGAAATCACCCCCCAGGGGGGATGGTCACGCCGTAATCCCTTCTCCTCCATCCTCCTCTCGGGATCTTGGGCACACATGCACATGCGCCCAGCGTGAGTTTTAAGCCACCGGGGCCGGGACTCGAACTGCAGTCGACCACGTGGGAGGCCAGCGACATAGCCATTACGCTAACTGCTGGTCCCTGAAGTGGCTTTTTGAACTCTGTTTTTGCCAGAGGGCATGTGTGCTCACCAGTGAGGGAGACGGAGTCAAAGAAAGGACGGAGAGGAAGAGGCACCCATGGGGCACAGCCAGCCTTCTCCAACCCTCCCGTCAGAATTCTGGGCACACACAAACACCCAGCATGGGTCTCAAGCTGCCGGGCCTGGGACTCGAACTGCGCTGTCAGCCATGTGGGACCTGGCTGTCTGAACCACTAGACTGTGTTCTGATCTTGTCAGAAAAAGCCTGTGCCCTCCACCCCCGCCCCCAGCCAGCAGCAAGTCTGAGGTTAGACCTGCCCACGTCTCCCAACAGCTTGCACCCTGGCAGGGCTGTGGCTGGCTGTCACTTCTGCAGGTGCTGCCCAGTGCCCTTGGGGCCATTCCCACAGAGCCATCACCATCACTCCAACCCACAATCCTGGACCCAGCGGCTGGGATGGGCGTGGCCTACGGGGCTGCTCCAGTCATTGTCTGGGGCAGCAGGGTCAGGGGAGTTGCAGCGCTCGCCCCTTACCCCAGTGAGTGCGCCCCAGCCCCAAACCTGTCCTCAGGGGGTTAATAGGAAAGCCAGTGATGGGAGGAGGCAGGGAATGGGGAAGCAGGGCTGTGGAGGGTGGTATGAGCATGCAGCCCACATATGGACAGGTACACAGATGTGCACTGTCGGGACCTCTGGGTACCTTTTTTTTTTTTTTTTTAAAAAATTTTTTAATTTGGGAACCACCAGTTAACGTAAT